GTACTTTGTTCCTTTTATGGACAAATATTTCGTTTTAAAAGAATTCCTTAGAAAATCAAATTCTGGGGTAGGAGAGATGGTTCAGCAGTTAAGAGCACTGGCTGCTCTTACAGGGGATCCAGGTTCGATTCCCAGCACCCATATGGCAGCTAACAATGGTCTGTAACTCCAGTTCCGAAGACACTGCATGCGACACAAGTACACTTATACACATGCAGGCAATATACTCATACACATAAAATAATTGTTTAAAAAAGAAAATCAAATTCCATTGATAAATTTTTCGCCTTTTAGATTATAAATCAGAATAAAAGCTTTAATATTGCCAGATGTGGTAGCATAGATCTTTAATCCGAGTACTCAGGAGTCAGAGGCAGGTGGATCACTGTTAGACAGAGGCCAGTTCAGTCTACATAGCGAATTTCAGGCCAGCTGGGACTACAGGGAGACCAGGTCTCAACCACCTCCCCCACAAAAAAGTTTTAATATTTTCTTTACCTTTGGAAGTGTTAGCTATTTAATGAATTTCTTAAGGTATATATACCTTACTTTAATGATCTTTTAAGGGGGAGTGTTTGTCTAAATACTGAACAATAGAATTGGGTTTTTGTTGTTTGTTTTTTGAGACAGGATCTCCCTATAGCCCTTCAGTTGGCCTGGAACTCACTATGTAGACCAGGCTGACCTTGTTCTCACAGAGATTCGCCTGCCTCTGCCTCACAAGTACTGGTATTAAAGGCGTGTGTCACCGTGCCCAGTCCTGAACAATAGAATTGTTATGTTATGCCAAGGACAAGAGAAAAGGCACATTCTCACTACACACACTCACTCATACTAACACACACACATGGATAGATTAAAGGGAGAATATTTATTTTAAGCCCACCTCGCTACCTTAAAGTAGCTCACATTATAATATGGCTCTGGTGTAATAATTTGTCTTTATAATCACAGTTGATTAATCAATAGTATAACTGGGAAGTAGTTTATCAGGTCTGAGAGTCAAATAATATCATTATGAAGGTTACAGGAATCTAGGCAAGTTAGATAACCTTCCTAGCTGGTAAACAGCCATACACCTCTTAGCTCTCAGCCTCAACCCAGACTCCTGCCATCACACACATTCAGAGCTCTTATAGCCCTTGATCTACATAGGATCATCAGTTTTTCCTATAAATGTTTGTTCATTGCCATAGATTTTTATTAGATCACCCAAATGCTGCCTCATTCGGTATTGATGACAAGTGCTTTCACCCACCAAGCCCATCCTCCCAGAACTTAGTTGTTTCACCTCACCCATTTGAGAACTGCCTTGTAGAAGAGAGCTGCCTTCAGCTTACTCTGGCCATCCTCCCTACCAGGGCCAGACTGTACCCAATGACTGGCTTACTCCAGAAAGTCATCCCATCTTCAAGACACCTATCAGGGTCAGCTCGGCCTTCACTAACATTGCATTGCAATCCGACTTCTCCCTCTTCCCAGTCCTGCTTATTTTTCTTCCCCCTGCTGGTGTTGATCATAAAAGGACTCCCTAATGAGTTTTCTGCATGCAAATCTCTATCTGGGTGTGTACTTTCCCAAAACACCAACCTGTTCCAATTGTGGAAACTTTTAGCACGGCATTAAGCAGAGGCTGAACTTGACATGTGAAGAAATAAGCGGTAGACAGGAACACAGTGATTCAGTCATTTCTACTAACCATGGGAAATTGATAGCCTTTGCTCAGATAAGGATAGCTAATATTTTTTCAAGCCTGTTTAATATTACTGTTGACACAAAAACACAGCTGGTACCTCAAAAGGGGGTAAGAGATAGTTTATTCCAGAGCCAAAGATAAGTGACCATGATTGGGCACACAGCTTTAGATTACCCTAAATTCCATGTTCCAACATAGTGAGCAGTTTGGTAAAGTTTTATAGTTACAGAATAAAGAAAATCGTCAATCAAGACACTTCAGATACGTTGGTGGAAACATCAAGTAGGCGGATTACACAAAGCGAGGGCATTGTTTGCTTCAGTCTTCAGATGCTGACAATATTGCCTTTGGGTTGGTGGGTGCTAGGGTCCATTTATACATTCCGTAGGATTTACCTAACTGTCACAAGAATGTTAGGTCACTTGCAGAGGTGGGCAGTGTTGGCTTTTAAGGGGGCTAAAGGTAGCCAAAGATAATCTGGCTGTGGACCCGCAACATTCCAACTACATCACTGAAGTTCTCCTCAGCCAACCAGCCTTTGTAGTCACAGCTTCTTTCTGGGAACTTTCATTCACATTACTAGATCCTAGTTGACCCTAATTCTTTCCAAAGACTCCACAGAAGAGTCTTCTTTGGGGTTCTTTCAGACTCAAGTCCATAGTATTCAGAGGTCCAAGATTCTACATGTATAATCTTTTTAAAAATAATTCTTAAAAATTTATTTCATTTGTGTGCGTGTGCGTGTGCGTGTGTGTGTGTGTGTGCGTGTTTTGTGTGTGTGTGTGCCATCTACGTGCCATTGCCTGTGGAGCCCAGAAAAGGGTGTCAGATCCTCTGGAACCAGAATTACAGGCAGTTCTAAGCCATCCAACATAGGTGCTGGGAACTGAACTCGGGTTCTCTGGAAGAGCAAAGTGTGCTCTTAACTGCTGAGCCATCTCTCCAGCCCTCATCTTGCTCCTTTCCTCTTTATAACTTAAAGATCAAAGTCACAGCTGAATAATGATTAAGAGAGAAGCGAAATATCAGCCATCTACTTAGTTGAACTGAAATCAGGTTTGAGATGTTTCAATTCGAGTATCCTTTCTCTGCTTCTCTAGGAAAATTTTTTCTTGCTGTCGTTCTCACTTGGAAGGGCTGGGAAGACCCAGAGGAGGTACCACAGAGAAAGTAGGGTCTGCATCAGAAAGATTTACCGGATCCATGCAACAGATAGATCAGAGAACCAGAGTCATTATCAGGAAGGGTGCAGGTGATACAGCTAAGACAACTCCAGGCATTAGCCCACACAAGGAGCTAGAACAGGGACTGAGACTGGAAACCGAGTGCACGGGGCATCCAGCAGAATCAGGGCTCTGGTGCTAGCTGAGAAGCAAAAGTCAGAACTAAGCCGAGTAGCTGATGGAACTTCCTTTCTCCAGTTACCAGGCGCACAGAGCAGGGGTTAATATGGCAACTCATGCCTGCTCTGGCCTGGATGTATTTATTAGTTACTTTTCTTGCTGTGACCAATTACCTAACAGGAAGCAAGTTAAGAGAGGTAAGGTTTATTTTGGATACAGCCCATCATGATGGGAAACCGTAGTGGCAGGCAGTTTCGTGGTGGCAGGAGTGTTCTGCTGAGACTCCACATCTTGACAGAACAGGAAGCAGAGAGTGGACAGGAAGTCCCGCCCAGCTATAAAACCTCAAGGCTTGCCCCTAGTAACTCATTTCCTGAAGTGAGGTTCGGCCTCTTCAAAGTTCCACAACCTTCCAAAACAGCACTACCCTCTGGGATTAAGTGTCTAAATACTTGACCCCATGGGCATTTCAAAACCACAATGCTAGGCAACCTCTCAAGTCTTCATTCACTTTTCCTTGAACCCACCTCTTCAAAGTCTCAACCAATGACAACGGGACTCGTAGAATGTGATGGTAAAGAGATCACGCATCCCTTTAAGTGTCTCTTCCTATTGCATGCATACTAATTCTCTCTCCCTTGTTACTTCCCCATACCGGAACCACAGCCCTTCCACATACCACGTTCCAGGGCATCATATGACCACAAAGCAATACACAGCTGCTGTCATAGAAGGCATAATGATGCTCTCAGAAGGCTGTGGGAAAACCATTGTTCTCCCTCTGCCCTTGGGGTAGAAACATCATAGCAGGCAGCTCGGCCCACATCTCCTTCAAATTTTCAGTGTGCAGTCAGTGTTATTACAGCTCCTGATGGGACTGACAGGACCAGGGAAAATAGAAAGCCAAGTTCTATCAGTGCAGATCATCATCTTCCATGGAGTCCCAGTGAGCTCAGGGCTGGACAAGGGTGTGGCTCACGCAGAATGAAAGGATCAGGACTGACAACAACAAAGCAAAGCATTGTAGGCTTGTTTGGTTTTGCCTGTTTTTAAAGCTTGTCATTAGCATATATTAATTACACATGATAATGAGTTTCATTATGACATTTTCATTCACATGCATAATGTATTTCTATCATATTTACCTTTGTTACTCTCTCTTGTCCCCCCAGCCCCGCTAATTTCCTTTCCCTTCTTTTTCTTTTTTCTTTTTTTCTTTTATTTTTTTTCTGTTTGTTTTTATGACCTAATGAATTTCGTTAGGGCTGCTCACAGGAGCTTGGGTGAGAGTTGTAAGTTTTTTGTTGCTATTGTTTGTATGGATGCTTCTTTCTAAACTGTGCCCTGTGTGGAAACAGGCATCCAAGCTCAATTCTGCATTGCCACAAATGATCCCCAAATGTCTTAAGGTATGAAGAAAAATGTCAACAGATCCTTTTCCTGGCCTTTCTGCTGTTTTTAAACAATTCTGTCTGCTACCTGAGAGTTGAAGGAGCCAGACCCCACATTTGGCAAGAGACTGAGTCCCAGTCATGTCAATACATGTCCGACACCAAAGGTTTCCAAAGACTAAGAATTACTGGTTTAAAGCTGAAGGCAGAAAGGACCCGTTTCCTAAGTGGCAGCCACCCAGCCAACACTACATCACAACCCATCCACAGAGGATAAAGAAAAGCTGACAACACTGGGCACCAGCTCTGTGGCTTTGACTTTGAACAACAGCTTTCCCTGCTCTGGGCCCCAGGGTCCTAATTGAAGTGGAAGAGACTGAGATCTGGAACTCAAAAATGACATGGCATTATATGCATACCAAGCCCGCCCCGCCCTTCTTGAAATCTTGCTAGTGAACAGTGTAGCTCCGCCCTCCCTGTTAATCCCTTGATTAAATAGGAACTTCCCTCCAGAAGTCTTTTGAAGTGAGCAGTACCTCTGACTGCAGCCAAGAGCAGCTCTCCAGCATCATGAGCACTGGCCCTCTGCACCTGGTCAGGGCGGCCAGCCTGGGCCTAGACTTCCTGCTCCTCCTCTCCCTCTGCCTGCACAGTGTGCTAGCCAAGGAGTTAAAGTTTGTGACCTTGGTAAGTAGCTCTTCTCATTGCATTTCCTTTTTTAAAAAGTGTTACCAGGAGAGTCAGAAAAGCCAAGTGTCACATTTCATGGGGGGTTTTTTGTTTCTTTTCTATTTTGTTTTTTGGGGTTTTTTTTCCACCTTTCTGTTGTCTGTCTGAGACCAGGCTCTGTTCAAACTCGGAAAGTGAATAGTCAAGTGTCGAAAGTTCCTGGTTTTTTGTTGTTGTTTTTTCCCTCTTTTGCTGTTGCTGGTATTACTTATTTACGTCTTTACAACTTTCCTGAATTCTAATTTCTTTTGACAGACAGGTCAGTCTGAGAGAAGCTACAGCTGGCACTGTTCGTATGCCAAGAGCTGGCCTGGCTTCTTTCAATGTAATGATTATTTGCTGGCAAACCGAAAATCAGTCATCTTCGGAAATTAAGTCACCCTTTCTACTTGTGTTTATCAGGAAATTGGAATATATTTGTAGTATATATCTTGGTAGCCTAGAGGAGAAACCAAACACAATTTCAGAGTGACTCTGATACACAGACTTACTTGATCATTAAAATCATGTTTTTCCCTACCTATGGTAAATGTGGCAATTTCCAAAGAAAGGAGAGAGGTGTCTGCTGCCTGTTGTCAGAGAAAAAATATACATAGCTGACATTGTACATAAATATAGGGAAAGGGCATTTTCCAAGTTAAAAGGATTTGTCTCCTCTTTTATGTTTTTGCCTCCGTGTCTTCTCTCTCTGTCTCTCTCTCTTTCTCTCTCTCTCTTCTCTTTCATAAGCTCTGTTACTCTCTTTTCTCTACATTTTTTATTTGATATAGTGAAAGTACGCTGATTCATAAGCACATTTTCTCAAGAAATACTCAAAACTCAAAGAATATGCAAGAATACTCAAAAACTGTTTTCATCATTTACAGAAAAGATATCTTTTCCTTAACACTTAAGCATGAAGTTCTTATTCTGTCAGTGTGAGATATTCAGAACTTTCTTCTCTTCTGTCTACAGAAAATCTGATAACCACATGTTTATATAAATCATAATGCTTAGTCCAGTAAATCTTATCATGAGTCAGGAGCAAGAGAGAGAAAAACATACCATCCTTTTCTGTACAAACGATTTACCAGCTGCCAGGCTTCTGTGTTGAATAAACAGCATAGCACTGTGTACCTTCCTCAGGGACACCCATTCGAGCTACCATTTTCCTTACACATGTGGTTTCCTTGACAACATGGGCATTAGAAAAATATAAGGACTGAGGAATGGTGCTGTGTTCTGCTGATCTCACACTGTGCCTGCAACCAGCTGGCTGAGTGGCAGTCTCCTTTCAGTTATTACAGTTAGCTGCGTACAGGAGTGTTTCCTCTGAATTTCACCCACAGCTGTGGGTCTCCTTTCTCACCTTTGCCCCTCTTCCCTCTCAAAATAGATTCAGGGACTATAAGTTAATTCTTCCCTAAGGAAAAACCAAACTACAAAGGTAGCTCTCTTGCAACCCAAAAATTAGCATTTCAAGAAGCAAACATTAACTCTTTTTCCTTCCATAAATGTTAAATGAAGAGCGAAGTAAAACATCTTCCTTGGCCCCTAATGAAACAACTTCTCTCTAATGTCCTAAGCCAAAGATACATCTTTCTTCTTTTTATTGATTATAGAGACTAATGACTATAAATGATTAATGAACACTCAGGGAAAACCTTAGAAGATTAAAAGAACAAGAATAAAAGATCAACTAGTTTCCAGTGACTAACATAGTGGTATTAACAACAATAACCAATAGTTACTGAATATTTTCTGTATACCAGCACTATTCTGTGAGTTCAGTATGGTTATGTCCTATAAACCTCTCCACAATTATAAAACCAGGATAAAATACAGGATGACTAGTTGAGTTTGACTTTCAAGGAAACAGAATAAGTTTCAGTATAAATACGCCCCATGCAATATCCAGGCATCTGTGTCTTTATTTGTTAAATCTAGCAAACATATCATAATTGTTAAAAACTTATTCCTGGGGCTGGGGATATAGCTCAGTTGATAGAGTTTGTCCAGCATGTACAAGGTCTTAGCTTCATGATACCCAGTACCATGTAAACTGGGCATGGGCTCACACCTGTACATTTATAAGCCCAACACTGAGGAGACAGAGGTAGGAGGCTCAGAAATTCAAGGCCATCCTTGGCTACACAGTGAATTTGAGGTCAGCCTAAGGGTATACAAGAGACCCTGTCTCAAAACAACAACAAAATGGTAAGAGGAATTGGGGTGTAGCTCTGCTGGTAGAGTGCTTGCCTAGCAGGCACAAGCCCTGGATTTGGTTTGATCCTTGCCACTACATAAACTGGTATGGTGGCATATGCCCGTAATTGGTCATCCCAGCACTTGGAAGGTGGAAGCAGCAGGATCAGAAGTTTAAGGTCATCCTCAGCTTCATAGCTAGTTCAAGGCCAGCCTGGACTACATGCAGCCTTGTCTCAGACCAATAATAAAAACTTTGTCATTCCTACTTTGTAGATTAAGAAAAAGAGGAGGCACAAAGAGGTTAGGCAACTTGACCATGATCACACAGAGTGAAGTCAGGCTTGAGCCCACACTGTGTGATGCCACTGGCCAAGCCCCTAACCACTACATGATATCTGCTTCTGCTGTGTGTGTTTAACCCAGAGCCTGGAGCTGGGCTGAGATTGCTGTACAGTTCACAACATAGGCCTGACTCAAAAGCAGTTAATGATTTCCTTGGTTTTTCTCTATGATCTAAGAAGAATAAATCTCCAGTTCTGAAAAGCTGTCCTAAGCAGAAAAATCAGGAGACTATCCTTGGTTCTTGTCTTAAAATATATATAATTTATTATGTGTCTGTGTGTATATGTATGTATGTATGTATGATTGCATGTATAAGTGCAGGCACTGCATGTCATAGCACACATGAAGTAGTCAGAGGACAACTGTTGGGACTTAGTTCTTTCCTTCTACCCTGGGCTCCAGGGACTGAACTCAGGTCATCAGGCTTGCACAGCAAGTGCTTTTACTGGCTGAGCCACCTCACCAGCCCTACACAATCTTTGGAAACAGACTCACCAAAGTATTTCCCATGAAGTGGTAGTTTGGACGCTTAACCGTTGTTACATGGGGGAAAAAAATATGAAGCCAAATCGAATGCAGGGTAAACAGTTTCAAAGGGTCTCTTTAATGCCCTAAGTCTAACCGATACTGTGAAAAAATAAATCTAGTAAATTGCTTCCTGGGGTGACTATGGCATGTACCTTCCCAGAATATCCTTATGGAGAGGGAAGTGCGAGTGTATGCTGAGCCCTGGTGCATGCATCAGTCAGCTGATAATTAGCACTCCAGGCCAGGCTTGCTTCACCTACTCATTTCCCGCACACACCCACTTGGCTTTTTAAAAGTAATCTCCTACATCGTTCTATTCCAGTCAAAAGAGCGATGCCTTTGTAAAGCAAAAGCTCTCCCTTCAGCCAGAGAAAAACCACAGGTTAGGTGATGTCAGACAGAGAAAAATTCCATCTGGTCCCTCCGGGGGCTTCCTAAAGAAAGGCATTATGAACCACAATGTGGTACCTCCTTTTTTCTCCATGGTTGACCTGATTTCTGCAGGTCTTACCTGAGTCATAGCCCATCCTCTGTATGAAGCGCCTCCAAACCCTGTGTGCATTGTGTCTTCCGTGGGATGAGTAGCTTCTCAATCACAGTTGGACCTGCACATGATGCTGGCTCTTGGACATTTCCAGGGCCACCAGGTCTTCCTGTTCTCCCTCACCTCTACTGCTCAGGGGCTAGCCGGCAATCCCATGACTAATTTTCTAATGCTCTTTGCTAGAATACAAGTTTAAGGTGATACCTAGGAAAGCTCAGAATTTTTCCTAAACTCAGTTCCACCACCCTTGGCCTGGTCTAGGACCATGTACAGGTCATTTAGTGGAACAGCTGAGTTTGAAGTTCCCCAAACTTAAAGTTGGGGATCATGACCATATCTAAGCTTCTTCTCAGAGTTGTCTTTAGGATCAAGTGACATGATTTACACGTGCAAGTGTGAAGAATTCCCTAAGTGCTGCCGGGAGCAACAGTCTAAAATGGAAGGTTTCCCATTTTTTAGATAAATTGCAGATGATCTTTAGTTCATTTTGAAGTCTACTGTCTTAACCATTTGAAGAGTAGAGTTCAATGTTGTAAGTACATTTACAGCTCGTGCTGCTGCCTGTGCTACAGCCATCCATCTTCAGGATTTCTTTCTTTCAAAACTGAAACTTCACAGCCATTAAGCAGGACCTCCCCATCTGTACTTTCCCTCCAGGCCTGTCCAACCTGCAGCCCCTGGGCTGCATCTGGTGGAGGTTAGCTGTGAATGGGGCCAACAGTAAATCATAAACTTACTTCAAACATTATGAAATTTGGTTTTTTGGAAATTTGTTTTATTTTTCAAATTCTATGTATATGAGTGTTTTGCCTGCATGTACGTAAGTGCGTGCAGTGCCCGCATAGGTCAGAAGAAGGCATCAAATCACCTGGAATTGGAGTTATGGACAGTTGTTAGCTACCATGTGGGTATTGGGAACTGAGCCCAGGGCCTCTAGAAAAGCAGCCAGTGCTCTTAACTACTAAGCCATCTCTGCAGCTCCATGCAATTTCTTACATAACTTGTACCATTATCAAGCATCAACTTTACAGATGATGTCTTTTTGTAACATCAAAAGGTTGGACACAACTGGATGTGGTGGTGCACGCCTTTATTAATCTCAGCATTTAGAAGGCAGAGGCAGGCAGATCTCTGTGAAAAAGAGGTCAGCCTGGTCTATGTAGTGTGTGTCAGGTCAGCTGGGGCTACAGGCAGGTTGCACACACCTCCTAGGCATGAAACCATTGTTTCACTTTCTGCTTCTCTAAATTGGGCTCCCTGAGATGCCCTGTTAGTAGAATCATACCGGAGTTGCCTTTGAGAACTGCCAATTTTACCGTAATACCCTCAAGGTTCTAGATATCAATTGTAATTGAAT